ATGAAGACGCTTAAGCCAATCTATATCAAGCACCCTTCTAGCAACTGAAGCGGCTAGTTCTATCCCATACGAAGGCAAGGACAGACTGCTAGACCGAAGCACACTTATTTGCAGTTATCTGCCTACCTGTTCCCGTCGGGCAGAATATTTTGATCGCAAGAGCCGGCATTTGTCCAAAAGAATACAAATAACCTTCCAGCAGGGCTAGAAAAAAGCCGAACATGGGACGTTAACAGCTCTATCCTCGCGTATATGTGAAATACAAACCATCATGTAAGGGCCTTCCGGGTGATTTACGAGGTCTCTTCAAGCTACCTAAAATCAATTGGGCAACGGCTACTGGCTACGGCAGAGGCGGCTGCAAACAACTTACGTAAGTCGGTTATGTGCGCGCCCCAGAGTTGCCATGGCCTCAAGCCACCAAGAAAGCCTCCTGCAGGTAATTACCTTTTCCTGTGGCCATGATGTCCCTGGCGCTGATCAGAAGACATTGATTGCATCTTTGTTTTCCTCCCCTACCCCTTAACATGATTCTTCTTTCTGTCCGCATCATTTAATTATTTCAATAGCAATGTAAATTGGAAGTAAGATCACCCTTAAGGTACTCTACAGCAAGCAACAGTTCCTTTACCTGTAGAATTCAAAAATAGATTACCTAAAAAGGGGCAGAACTGCACCGGGCAAAGACAATGTGTTTGGGTAAAAGGTGCGAGGGCTCTCAACATCACTTACGGCGCCTTCAAGATAGGCGTTTCTAGAGCGGGTAGCGGCCAACGCCTCAATGAGAGAGGACCGCGGTTCAATGTACTTGGCGAAGGCACCCTTTGTTGGACCCCAGTCGTAGGAATTGTATAGAGGATCATCAACAAGTGGGAACCCTGAAAGCCGAATACGTAAAACAGTGAGGACTGGTGGTAACTGCCAAAAGCTGTAAAATGTTTGACAAGGCAATTTTAAGAATGTATGTAATGTGTTACTAATAAAATAATAGTAGACACATTAATTACATTAAATAATCCTCACCCAGAAATTG